CAGGTCCTCGGGACCCCAGGGAGAGGTGCCCCCATCACCCTCCACCCCCCTCCCCCAGCTGGTGTTGGGGGGACCGCTGGCATTGCCCTACCCCCCTCCTCCACGTGCCCAAGTGGCAGGTGAGGCTGGGGGCACCAACTACCCGGCACGGGTCCCCGCCAAACCTGGCCCAGCCAATAGGACTCTGACTCCAGGGTCTGGCATGGCCTTGGCCGCTCCAAGTCCCGTGAGCCCTTGACGGGGTTGGCGTCAGCACTCTCAGTGCTGGGAACAACAGGGGCCATACTGACCCCTGGAGCCCTGGGGTGCCCACAGGATGAAATGCCCTCACATCCTCCTGTCCTGCACATACACCCAGAGCCACCGGGCAGGGCCACTTGTCAGACACAACCCCGAGCTGGTTGCCTCTCCTGGGGCCAGGCGACTCAGCCAGAAGGTAGGGCAGGTGGGCAATGCTGAGGACAGGGGATGAGGCGCTCTCTGGCTGGGGCCTGGGCTCACAGGCACTGTTCTCTGTAGACACTGAGGGAAATCACAGACCAGGAACACAACGTGGCAGCACTGAAGCAGGCCATCAAGGACAAGGAGATGCCGCTGCGTGTGGCCCAGTCCCGGCTGTACCAGCGCTCCCACCGGCCTGGCGTGGAGCTGTGCCGTGACACTGCCCAGTTCAGGTGCCCACACCTAAGTCACCCAACCCCATCACCACCCATGCCCCACCCACTCCCTCAGCTCTGGAGCTCTAAGAATGCCCCCACACCATGCGTGCTCAGGGCACAGGCTGGAGGCATGGGCATAATGCATGCGTGCACGTGCACATACACACACACACACACACACACACACACACACACACGGCATGGACATGACAGGGCACCACGGGGCAGGGGCTGGGTGTGCTGGGCTCCGAATGCCAGGGAAACGCGTCCATGCTCCCTCACCCCTGTGTGCTGCCTCAGCTCCCGGGAGGAAGCCGCCCACAGGTCAAGCTCCCAGAGGCCACAGGGCCATAGCAGTGGGCAGGGCCGTCCCCACCTCTAATGCGGCGGTGTGGCCCATGCAGGGGTGTGGTGGACATGCTTTTCTAGTTGATGGGTGCCGGGCGCCCTTCTAAACACAAGTCTCCTCTTCCTCCTTCCTGCTCTGGTCTGGTCCCAAGGGGGTCAGTCCTGTGTTCAGAAATAAGGCCCGAGGACACAGGGATGTAGGACTGGGCCTAGCCAGCCGCCATGGCTGCTCCTGTCCCTGCTGCACATCGTCCCTCCCCCTCGGGCTCAGCCTCCAAGAGGACTCTCAGTCTGCCCAGGGCTCGGGCTGCTCTCCCATGGCGGGCTTCCCTGTGGCCCTCCGGCGGGCTCCGGCCAGGCCCTCCCACCTGCCCAGGCTCTGGCCTTGCCGGTGCCCTCCCCAGCCCACTCACATCCCTGCCCCACAGGCTGGTGAGCGAGGTGGAGGAGCTGGACCTGTCCCTGGCGGCGCTGAAGGAGAAGCTTCTAGAAGCAGAGCAGTCGCTGCATCACCTGGAGGACACGCGCATGGACCTGGAGAAGGACATCGCAGTGAAGACCAACAGCCTGTTCATCGACCGCCAGAAGTGCCTGGCCCGCCGCACGTGCTACCCCAGTGTCCTGCAGCTAGCTGGCCACCAGTGAGAGCCTTGGACATGCTGGGGCTGCCCCATGTGTGCTGTCCCCACCCTCAAATAAAGGACACATCCGCCTCATGTGCGAGCATGTGTCCGGCGTGGTCTCCAGCGGCCGTCCATCTGGCGGGTGTCTCAGTCCCCTGTGCCAGCAGGCTAAGTCTGTGGGCCCCATGATTCCAGCCATGGGAGACGGGGGTCGCTGCCAGGCCCTGCCTGGTGTCCTCGGATGGAAGTGACAGGAACTGTGGCAGTCTGAGGGAGGGGCCGGCCGGCTCTGTGTCCTTCTGGCCTCTGCTCCCAGCCGGCCCCGGCAGGCAAGGCCCAGGTGACAGCTCCCAGCATGGGTTTTCCTGGCACACCAAAGAACAAGAGCGGGTTCCATGTATCACACAGTGGCCAGCAGCTTGTGACAAGGGGCATAGCTTCTATGGTGACAGGAGGTGACATTTCCCCTGAAATGAGAGTTCCTGGAAGTTGCTAGTGTCCGTCACCCTGTAATTCCTGCCAGCATAGGGTGGGCACTTGGGGAGTCCATGTGGGGGGAAGCCACAGAGCCCCCACTACCTGCAAGGGAGGGGTGGGAAGGCCAGACGCCAACCTCTGTCCCCATCTGGGACTTTGGGCACAGTGCCCAGCTTGGGCTCCCCAGAGGTTGGGTGGTGTCAAGCTCCCCATGGTGCCCATTCAGCCTCCTCGCTGGGTGACAGCTCATCAGTGGGACTCTGGGGACGCAGCTGAGAGGTTTGGGAGAGAATGACTGCCACAGGCCGTGGCACTCAGCCTCCCGTGATCGAGAGGCTGGACACTCTGCAAGGCCTGGCCAGGCTGCAGGCCCCCTCCTTCCAGGGTGTGGGGGAGCCAGGCCAGAGGTGCAGGAGGGCCCAGGAGGTTTATTGTTCCTGCCGTGGCTGGTGGCATCGAGCTGAGGGGGTCTCGCCAGATGTGGCTCTGGGCACGCAGCTATTGCCAGTCCCTTTGGCCCCTGACAGCCCCAGACAGGTATCCCTGCCATGTGCATTTTACAGCTGAAGAAACTGAGGCCTCTGCGCTTCCTCCTCAGGACCAAGTCAGTGCTGGGCGGCTGATCACATCCCCTGCCACCAGACATTGTGACTTGGCCACAGACCCAGACAGGGGTCGCCTCTCCCTGCTGAGCCTTGTCTTGACCCCAGATGGCCCAGCCCCGCCCCGCCACCCGCAGGCACCTCTGTGAAGTCGCCATCCCCTGCCCCTGAACCTCCTCCTGCTGTGGAGATCAGGCATGGCTTGCTCCAGGAAGCCCTGGGCTCCTGGGGCAAGGCTGGGGGGCTTCAGGCCACCACAGTGGGTGAGGGAAGATGCTCCCCTGGGTGGCCTAGGCCTTTCTGCCCATGCTGGGCCCAGCCCTGTCTCCTGGACTAGAGGCTGGGGATGAATGAACTCCGTCCAGGATCACTGAGGGGGGTCTGGGCCATGGTCAGGTGGGACAGGCTGCTGGGTCGTGGCTGTCAGTGACCCAGTCAAGGTGAGCAGAGAAGGACGCCGTGGGCTGTCGGGGTCACAGGCGGCCTCACCCCCTGTCATCAGGTCAGGGTCGGCACATGTCTAGCCAGCGCTTTTTCTGCCCAGAAGATGCTGCCCTGTCCTGTCACTCACCTCTGCCCTCGCTACCCATACCCTCTGGCCCAGTTTGGGCTCCTGCCCCCACGGCGGCTCCTGCATCACCCCCAGGCACCACCAGACAGGAGGGACCCCAGGCCAGAGAGATCAGAGGGCACCCTTCCTGGGTCCTCGACCTGTCTCCCTGGACGAGGCCCCATTCTCCATCACCAGCTCCCGGAGAGGCTCCATGACTGCCACCCACGGGGGACTACGGAAACGCTGCTCTCCTGGAAGAATGCGCCTTTGTGGGGGAGCACCCCTCACTTTAGGGGAGCGCCCTTCTCTTTGGGGGAATGCCCCTCTCTTTGGGGAATGCACTTCTCTTTAGGGGAATGCCCCTCTTTTGGGGGAATGCGCTTCTCTTTGGGGGAACACCCCTCTATTGAGAGCAGCTCTGCTGGCATCTGGGAGCACAGAGGGGGCATCGGGGGAGAGATCTGGGCCTGGACGTCACTGAGCTTGTGCCTGCCCATGGGACTCTCCCAGCCAATTCAGTCGCAGTCGCTGCCCACTTCACCGGTGGGGAAACTGAGGCTCAGGCCCAGGGAGCCTTGGTGCGTGGGTATTGTCACCTGTCTCAGGGATGCAGGGGTCAAGGATGCAGGGTCAAGGACAGAGCAGCCACTGAGGATCCTGACCCGCCCTGGCCTGCCCCGGCCCGCCCCTTCAGACCTTGTTCTAGGCCTGGCCAGCTTCCTCTGGCCTGACTCTTGAGGGCGAGTGGCTGCCAGATCCCTGCAAGACTGTCCTTGCTGCTCGAGTCTCAGCTGGGCAGAGCCAGTCGGAGCAGCTAGGGGTAGTGCTGTTGCAGGAACCTGGGAATCCCCACTCGTGTCACCAGAGTCAGCAGGGGCGAGGACAGCTGTCCACAGAGGCGGCCGCTGGGCCTGGCGGGGATCCACGGTTCGAGTGTCGCCTCCCAGGGCCAACCGGTTATGGGGAGCCCAGACTCGGCTTCTGTGCTGCAGCCTCGCCACGGTCCCCAGCCTGGAGCGCAAAGCCCCCACAGCAGCAGCCTGGTCTCCATTGGTGGCCTGTCCCCCATCCTCCCTGGTCTTCATGTGGAGTTGAGGGCCAGGTCCAGGCAGGGGAGCTGAGGGTGGAGCCAGCCCCTCCAAGAGCCTGAGAGCCAGCCCCTCCACTGCAGCCAGACTCTGGACAGGGCTGCCACAGTTATCCGGTCCCCTCAGCTGCCTCCCACCACAGGTGACCAGGCTCCAGTGGGAAAGGGTCCCTGGGGAATGACAGCCATTCCCATGTCCAGAGGTGAGACAGGGTCTGAGCAAGGCCAAAGCCCACCCACTGCTGCCTGGGAGGCCCATGGGCCATCCCACTCAGGAGCTTGTCCACTGAAGACCCAGCTGGTTCTGAGACCCCCTGGGGCACCCTGGCTTCTTGGGCTGGGACTCACGGAGATGCTGGCGTGTGTCTGGTCGGAGTTATTTCTGTCCAGGAAACGCCATCTTGTCCCCACCGATTCATCTCTGTCCTTGCATAGGGAGGCCCAGGACTGTGTCACAGGAGGCTGGAGGCCAGTGGGCCCTGGTCTGGGCCCCGGTCTGGGCACCACAGCACCGGCTGTTGGTCTCTGGCCCCTTGCCAGGCCCCGCCCGGCCACAGGAGCAGAGCCAGGAGGGCAAGTCCAAGGGGGTGGGCACTGGGAGGACTCACCGCACCCGTCCTCACCTGGGTGGTCTCCGCCCACAGCCGCCGAGAAGCCGCGGCCCCCAGGCCTCACAGGCATGGGGCTGGCAGCAGGCCTGAGCCCAAGGCGGCTCTGTGGGGGCCGTGGGCCCCACCAGCATCCTGCCCGAGCCCTGCGAGCTGCCCTTAACCTGTTGGTCTTGGATGGCCCAGAGGAAACCGCCAGCGCCCATGAGGGCTTGAAAGGGCCCTTTGACAGCTGCCGTGCAGAGGCGAGACAGACGGCCAGACGGACAGCAGCACTTGAGTCTGTGAGACGGTACTGGGGGTCAGGCCGGGTGAGCGGATGGGGTCTTCACAGCCTCCCTGGGCAGACGGGGATCCTTCTGGGCCCCAGCAGAGTGGGATCTAGCTCAGACTATCTGCTGGGCAGGGTCTGGTGCTGAGACACCAGGGTCTCAGGGCTCCTGAGTTGGGGGTCCCAGGCACAGGCCCCCATGGGCAAGTCCACTCCCGGGTTCCCTTCCCACGAGAGGGATATGGGGGGGTCTCGTGGGGTCCAGTGGGGCCAGGGGATGAGTCAGGGTCTGCAGGGCTGGGGGGGAGGCAGAAAAGGGATCTCAACTGCCAGAGAAGTTCTGTCACTTGGGGGTGAGTGTTAGACCCACTGCACAGAAGGAGGGGCTTTGCCCCAGGCTGCAATCCCCAAGGGCTTCCAAAAGAAGTCCTGGGTCTTTGCCCAGCACAGTCAAGCTGCAGGGTAGATCGAAGGCCCACGAGTCAGGGAGGGAAACCACGTCCAGGCTTGTCTGGAATGCTGCTGGTTGAGCCAGGAGGGGCCTGTGCTTCTCAGGTAGACCCAGACCGGCTCCAGCTCCCCAGGTTTCTCCAGGTGGGGTCCTCAGGGGTGGAGGGGACCCAGGACTGGCAGGGGATAACGGCCATCTTTCCCCCTTGGTGGGACACATGGGGTGGCCCCCAGGATCCCTGGAGGCCCCTCCCCCCCAGCTCAGGCATACTCTCATCTGGCAAGATGTCCCCTGCTGAGCTGTGCCTCCAGGGGGTCCCTCCCACACTCCCCACCCCCCCACCCCTATCCACCCAGGGCTGTATTTCCCTGGAGTGGTCTGAGACCCTGCCCAGAGCTCTGACCAACCACGGGGCTCCTGGAAAGGCCCCACACATCTGTGTGTGGAGGCTGACCCAGTGCCCCCTGCAGCCCCCCTCTGTCTGCCTGGTACAGGTTCCCAGCTCTGGAGACTCCAGGGGTTTGGGCGCCTGCTGCCACAGAGAGTGGAGGCCTGGGAGGCCAGGGTGACCAAGAGTGGCCTCTGAGTCTCAGCTTGGCCTCCACGGGGACCCCTGTTTTCCCCGTTGTCTCCCCGACAGGGTTCAGTGGCCTGCCGGCAGGTGCCCAAGACACCTCTTTCCTGCCCGCCCCCAGATGGCGGCTCCTGCCCTGATCCTCTTGGCCCTGGCACTGCCCGTGGGGGCGTGGCCTGACCTGGGGTTGCCCCGGCGGGCCTGTGTGCACTGCTGCTGCCCAGTATTGGCCCCTGGCCGCCCCTGGCCCCTACACCCGCATGAGCGACAGCTGCCCGTGAAGGATGTTGTCCTGAGTGAGGCCTACTGTAGACATCTCTATCCTGAAAGGTGAGTCCAAGGTGCTGCCACCTGCATCCCCAGGTGACGCCCACATGGAGAGGGAGCTGGAGGGGGATAAGGACATGACAAAGGGCCCGGGATGGGACACACAGAGCGCCTGTCCCTGCCGGGCGCCCTCAGTCCTCCTTCAAGGAGGAAGAAGTCTGGAGAGGGGCCTGGGCCACAGGGGGTGCCGAGGACCCCAGAAAGGGGTGCAGGATCCCCGACACCTCCAAGGGAACACTCCTTTGGGAAGGGAGGGAGGCCCTCTTGGTGTGAGACTCCCTTCACAGAGGCTCCTGAGAGCTGCACAGCATGCTGTGCATAGTTAGACTTGGATAAGAACTTCCCACTCCACCCTTCAATGCCCAGCTCAGACCCTTCCCCGGAGCCCACCCTGAACTCGCGTGTCCCTGCCCTCCCCTGGGGACAGCCTTTGCTACGGGCCTTGGTCCAGCTGCACCTTCAGGACTGGCTTCTCACTGCCTGCATGAGGGGCAGCTGGCACACCTCTTACGGATGGGGAAACTGAGGCTTAGAGAGGCGAGATCACCATCAAGGACGCAAGGTCCTTTCTGCAACCCTCGGGCCCCGGCCCTTCAACCACTCTCGGTGGTGCCTAGAGGGACATCTCGGTGATGCCAGCCTGACCAGCAGCCTGATTGCTTCCCCACAGGTGAGAAGGGCGATGCAGAGGTCAGAGGTCGCCCCCGCAGCAGTGGGAAGGAGGGCCCACAGGGTTCCCAGGGCCTGCAGGGGCGCCCGGCCAGAAGGGACAGGCGGGCCTGCTGGGCACCCCGTGCCCGTGAGCCTATGCAGCCTTCACAGTGGGCCGCCGAGCGGGCCTGCACACATGGATGCACCCTGGGGGTGCCCTTCGACAGGGAGCTGGTGGACACGGGCAGCGCCTCTCACCTTGCCGCGGGCCGTTTCCGCTGCATGGTGCCCGGCGTCTACTTCCTCAGTCTCAACGTACACACCTGGAATGGCACAGAAGCCCACCTGCACGTCATGCATGGCCGGCAGCCCATGGTCGTGCTGTACGCACAGCCCAGCGAACGCAGCCTCATGCAGGCCCAGAGCCTGCCGCTGCTACTGGCAGCCGGTGATGCCGCCTGGGTGCGCATGTTCCCGCACGACCACAACAATGCCGTCTACGGCGAGCCTGGGGACCCCTACATCACCTTCAGTGGCCACAGAGTCGCCCCCGACACTGAGATCTAGCCAAGCCAAGGCCCTGCGGCCCACCAGAGTCCCTGTTGTGTGGAGAGAGCCATGGTGGAGCGCCGGCTGCAAGCAGAGATTGAGTTATGGGGTGATTGAGCACCATCTGTGTGCAGGGGTTGCGTGATGGAGTGATTGAGCGCCAACTGTGTGCAGGGACTGAGTGATGGGTGATTGAGCACCGACTGTATGCAGGGATTTGTGATGGGGTGATTGAGCGCCGACTGTGCAGGGATTGCGTGATGGGGTGATTGAGTGCCGACTGTATGCAGGGATTTCGTGATGGGTGATTGAGTACCGACTGCATCCAGAAATTAAGTGATGGGGTGATTGAGCACTGACTGTGTGCAGGGATTGCATAATGGGGTGATTGAGTGTATGCAATTTGGCAGTGGAGCACAGAGCATGGTGGGAGCATGTCTGATGCATGACTGGCTCTTGTGGGGTTGGACACACACAAAGTGATCACCTGAAGCCACATGCAGCAGGTGGGCCAGGGTGGCAGTCGGCGGCACCTTGCACTGGGCTGTGGGAGACCACTGCTCACCATGTGTCCCCTGGCAGTGTGCGGCCTGTTCTACACATAAAGGCTGTAACTGGTGCCAGGAGGCACTTGCTTTTTGTCAAGTGTTTGCAAAGCACCCGCTGGAGCACTGGATATGGGGGTGGCCACAGATGTCAACAGAAGAAAGTGACTTCCCTGGGGGTGGGGCTTGGAGAGGATGGCCTGGGGAGGCTTTTTCCCTGTGAAACGTGACCGGGTGCTGGTGGACTGGCCAGGGCCTCAGGGTCCCCTGGTCTATTGAGAATGGTGGGGGTAGAGGAAGATCAGCCCTGGGAGTGCCAGGCTCTGGGCCCAGGGTCACTAGCACTCAAACACAGCTGAGAGCCTGGGCCAATGCCTGTGGGAGAACAAAGGCCCCATTGGTGAGTGGACTGTGCCCTGTCCTTCCAGGCAACAGATTGGTCCAGCTGGTGTCACTGGATGTCTCCATTGCCCTCAGCAGCCGGAGCACCTGTGACTGCCCCTCACCCAGGCCTTCCCAGCCACGTGTCCAGAGCTGCCCCTCTGGCCTGCGTCTCCTTCCCTCTCCTTCTAGTCCTCCACCGCTGGGATATCCCCCCACCAGAGTCACCCTGACATCTGGTCCATGGCAGTGAGGCCACCAGGCCTGACAGGAACAGCATCTGGAACTGCCAGGGCCTGCCCAGCTGGCAGAGATTTGGGAAGCTCTGAGGAGCCACAGGCCAGGTATGGAGGGGCAGGAGGGCTCACTGGGGCCTGTGTGTACTGGGCAGACTCAGGGCTCTGGGCGTCCTCATAGGAGGCCCTGTCACCAAGCGCCAGCTTGTCCTGCCCTCGTAAGCACCGGCCCTGTTGCCCATCCCCAGGGACCCCATGGGTGGTAAGATTCTGCTCCACCCAGGATGTCTCTGAGGGCCTGGCCCTGTGCCTGGGGTCACCCCATAGGGCGGTGCCAGGGCCGGGGGATGTGGGAGGGGCAGGGCCACACCTTATGGGAAGAGGGAACTGCCAGTCCACCTCAAGGTGGCCACACTCGTGGGAAGGAACAGCAGAGCAGAGTGGCCCCATCACCAGAAGACCCCATCCAGGGGGGTGCTTCAGTGACCCCACAGGACCTGGAGCCAAGGGCCATCCCACCCTCGGGGCCCAGGGGTGACAGTGGGGGTTGGATGGAAGGGTCGGCAGCACCCCCACACTGGCACCTCATGAGGACAGGCCCAGTGCAGCTCACCCATCCCCCCCCTCTACAGAGAGAGATCCGTGACAGGGAACACCTGGAGTCCGGCTGACTCTGACCCACCTCATTCCTGTCCTGGGACAGAGGGTGCCCAGCCCTTGTGGTGAGAAACTGAGGCCCAGTCAGGGTCCGTAGAGCACCCCGGCATGCATGTCCCAGGAGCCACCCTCACAGGGCAGGCCTGGGGGGCCAAGGATAGCCCCCACAAAGCAGAGTAGGAGGAGGGGCAGCCCTGGCCAGTAGGCAGACGACCTGGGAGGGCCGGGGACCCTCATTAGCCAAAGAGGCCCATCTGGAAGGAAGAGGCTTTCTCTCAGCTGCCCCTGCCACTTCCTGGGCCTAGGCCTCTCCTGTCCCTCCTGAGCCATCTCGCTCCAAGGCTGTCACCAGGGCCAGGCTGCCCCGCATTCCACGAGGACTGTTCGAAGCCTCATCTGTGTCTTTGGGCATGCAGGGCTTTGGGCTCAGCACAGCCCAGGACAACAAGGCTTGCAGTGTCCTGGGCAGCACTGGGCCTGAGCCGCAGGCCCATTGGTTGGGGGTACATGGGGTGGGCAGAATCTCAGGCTGCACTTTGGCCTCTCATGGCTGGGGTCGCCAGATATGCCCAGGGTACCTGGCAAGCAGAGGTGTCGGGATCCACTGCAGGCGCTAATGGGCCTTGGTGGCACCAAGGCTTCCACTGCGGGTATAAAGCAGGGGGGAAGGGAGGATCCTGGGCCCCTGCCCAGCCTGGCCTCCTCTCCCAGCCTTCCAGGACTTTTTAGGGCTGGTCTGACTGGAAGGAGCTGAGAGACAAGCCTGCCCTCCTGCTGTGCATCCTGGGCACACTGTCCCGCTTCTCTGAGGCACTGGGCACTAGGTGGGCATCTTGGGTGGCAGCTGGGCTCTGTTCTGGCACAGAGGTGACTCTGCCTCCTTCAGCCTTGAGGCCTGAGTCCAGCTGCCCTTGAAGGTTCAACGGGGCTCCCAGGAGGGCTGAGCAAGCTGGGCCCTGGCAGGCAGGCACACCACTGGGGCTTCCTGCATCAAGGAGGGTCCCCTGGGAGCCCGTTGGGGTCCAGAGTGGTGTTACTCAGAGCGTCGGAGGCTGTGGGGCAGGGTGGGCTGTGGGGACTGGTCCCACTGTCCATCCAGAGGGCCATGGTCTAGAGGAACAGCAGGTCTGAGCAACAGTCACACATCCACAGGTGTGCACGCCCTCCTCTGTCGCGAGCTAGATCATTTCATCCCCTGAAACGAGGCTGCCCCCATTGGCAGTTGCTCCCCAGCCCTCACCCAGCCCAAGGCAGTTGAGGCCACACTCTGGACGTCTCATATCCATGGAACCACCCCCACATGGCCTTTTGTTGAGATCCATCATCTGCTGATGGACACTTGGGTGGTTTCACCTCTGAGCTGTATGGATAATGCCAGAATGGACATTTGTGTAAACATCCGATGTTTTAACTCTGTAAAAATAGCATTGAAGAGAACCCGGAAGATAGAGAATTCTGACTCAGCTCAGTTTGGGGTGGGGACTTTCCCTGTGAGATATTAAAATGGGGGATAAAGATGTCATAGTTAATGCAGTGTGCACCAAGCAGAGATGGACAGAGCAACCAGGAGCCCCCTGTCGCCCCAAAGGACAGAATAACACCCCACAGGGGAAGCCAGGGGCAGGGCGGGGGACTTTTCCACTCAACATCCACGTCATGTGCTGAGACAGATTTTGGCTGACTGGAAGTTGTCAGCAGCACGGCCATTACAGACGTGTGACTGTGCACCCACGTTCACAGCACCATCCTTCACCACAGAAGGAGGCAGGTGCCATGTCCTGAATGTGGCCCCAGAACTTGTGCTGAACCTTCTCGCATGGACAGCCCGCATGGTGGGGTGGGAGTTGGGATATTTTGGACAGCAGCACAAAGGAACTAAGACAGTGGAGACAACCCAAGAGTCTGTCGGTGAAGGAGGGACACACAAAATGTGGCTCACACACTGGGTGTCACTTGGGAGGTCCCAACACTTGCTACAGTGCAGGCAGGCATGGAGGATATCGTGCTGTGTGAAGTGAATCAGTCACCACGGGACCAGTCCCGTGGGAGCTGCCTCCAGGGGGTCCTAGAGTAATCGAATTCATAGAGATGGGATGTGGAAGAGAGGCTACAGAAGGGCTGGGGACAGAGCTTCGGCCTGTGATTTTGAAAGGCTTTGGGACGGACAGTGTTGATGGTGGCTACATGTGCCTCGTGCCACTGAAATTCGCACAGGGTCACGTTGGGTTATGTGTATCTTACCAAAAGATTAAAAGTATGTGGGACATCTGACTGATCTCTGGATGGAAAAGCCTTGATTAAAAGGAAAAAAAAGTAGCTTCCAAGTAGATACATTATACCTTTGGTTTCATAAAAATAAAACTACTCCACTCAGGCCAGAAGCTAAAGCCACTGGGAGGGGCGCCCACCCAGGGACAGCACCGATGAGGGCGAGAATGAGGACACCTGGGAGGGAATCAGCAGACGTGGGGAGGAGCCGAGTCGTCTCGGTGCCACGGACCTGTGAGGATGCCCCTCCACACCACTGAGAGTGTATCCAGATATTCTCGTGGGGCCTCCCCCACATGGCCTTCATGGTCACTGCCATCCCAGCTTCCCAGCGTCCTGGTCACTGCCATCATCTGTGTCCCTCAGGAAACGTGGGCAGGTTTGGGGGCTGCAGCCAGATGCCCTGCCTGGCTGGGCCAGAGCAGGATGGCCTCCAAGGGCACAGAGATAGACCCACTGTCCAGATAGCTGTGAGGCCTGGCCAGGACCCAGGCGGAGTGGGTGGGAGGCTGGAGCAGATGGACACCCCCTCACCCCGTGGCCACCCTCGGGCATCAGAACAGGGATGTGAGTGGGGGGCAGTTGTCTCCCACTGCTCTGCACTGACCGCTGACCACAGTGGACAAAATCAGTAGCTTCCAGCTGCGTCTGGCAACTGGGAAGTCCAGCAGGGCACGGGAGGGGAGGGAGGAGAGAGGCTGCTGTCCTCAGTGGGAGGTCTCTGCTCCATCAGGGGGCCTCTCCCCATCTACTGCTCTGATAACAAGATGCCCTGGAGCACTGCATTGCCCACTGCTCGACAAAGTATCCTTAGAATAAACCATCCTCAAGTGGCTCAAGCTGACACGCCTGTTTCCTGGGACAGGGGCCAGACCCCGGAAGCACAGTGGGGCATGGAGGAGAAACATGAATAGATTTGGGTGGGGCAAGG